TTCACTGAGATAAGTATTCGTTGAATGTACTTAACCCAGTTTAAGAGGAAGTCAGTAGTGACCTAAATAGCTCAGTGGTAATGTCTCTAACTGCGACACTTGGTGACTCTGGTCTGAACCTCAAGTGGGTCATCGATTCCCTCTCGTTTGCAGATACACCTTACTGATGAGTTCCAAAAAGCACAAAACCTATGCCCAGGTCTTTCTGCTGACCGCCAATTTTTTCCTAGACTAAAGCTACTTTATTTTCATGCTATACTAAACTGCTTATTGTGTCACACAAAGACTAGTAGCTTAAACATGATGATGCTACCGGTTCTTGTTTTATTTCCTTTTTATGAGTCTTCATATAAGTAAAAGTGCTTCATATTCTATCCCAGATAAGATAAAGAACCCTAGGTTGACAGCTTTTACAGAGATTGGATTGCTGGGTCTCTAAGCTTCACAGTGATTGAAAGTTCCCTCAGTACACAAGTATTCACAAGATATTTGGTTTGAGTAGTGATTAAAGCAAACTGCATATACTTGGCGAAGACCTTCAGGATTGAAAAATATTTATTATAATGCAGTAAACGTATAGGCACAACTACAAAGCATTGTAAATCCTTGTATCATAAGAACAAGATATTTAAAGTTGTATTAGGGATCTAGATTGTGCAACAGACTGGGTACACTTTGACAGGAGAATTCAGAAGTCAACTGAAAAAAGTGTTTTTCACTTTGCTGAATTAAATAAAGCTTTAGAAAAATATCAGTTTAGGAGACTGACCTAGTGTTGTGGAGTGCATCACTATCTTCTAATTTTCTCAGGAAGGCCTTAAATCCCTGGAAGACCTTCACAACCAATCATGATATGCCTAACATTTACGAAGAAACACGTGGTCACGCATGTATCTCAGATTGACTAAAAAGCTTTGCAGAAGAGTGTAGAACATAACAAGACCACCGAAAACGTATATAAACCGTTACATTTTGTACATGTTTGACTTGCCAATAAACCTATTATCGTTCTCCTGCTTCTTTCTGTTTTCTAGGAATAGAGCGATCCTCAGTGGTGTAGTCTAAGGTTATTGTATATTTTGTATATCTACCACAAGGATATTTCATCTACTGAGTTTCAAAAGTGAACTCCTAAACGTACAGACTAAATGTATTTGCTTCAGTTTCTACTACAACTAGTTAAATTAGTACAGACTAGAGAAATTGGTGGAGAGTAGTGATAGGTTGTTAATAGCTGCTTAAGCAATACTAGTTTGTTACGAAAAAACTACAATCTGTTTTGGATGCTTATTACTTTCAGCATCTTCATTCGACTTTCTGTCACATGTAATTTATAGAAATATCGTTAACTTTAAGTTAACCGCTATTATTGATAAATATTGGCAAGTGAATCGACACCCTAGTCTGTTGGTCTGCAAAATATTCAAATTTTTCATCTTACTAATTCTCAGTCAACATGACACAACCATTATCATCTGTTACCTGTGCATATTTAGTCCCCATTCTTGACTAGGACGAACTTTAATTAACTTGAATTGAAGTATTTTGCACAGTGAATCACTTTGTTCATATTTAAATCAAATTATAATTTTCCATCAGTTATTTATGCAAAAGTTATTATTTTATAATTTGCAAGTGAATATTATTTATAAATTTTGATAGAACACCAACGCACATACATTTACACACAAAGAGAGTTATATTTTTTGAAATTTCATTCCAGAAGAAACCGGAAAAAAAGGGAGAAAATTATAGTTTCTAACGAAAAACCTCAGGGGCCAAAAGAAAAACAAGGAGAAAGAAAAATTGCCATTCATAAAATCTACAAACAAAACATAATTACACACGAATTCTCTAAGCTATTATTACATATTTTTCAAACACAAACGAGCGAATTTAGCTGTTGTAAAATACTCTGATTTTCTGTACATGAGGTGATGTTCGGTTAGTTCAGCGTCACTTATCTCTGAAAAATGTACGTTCTATGTTTATGTGTGTGTGTGCATACATGCACAAATAGAAATCAATAAATAAGTATAAAAGTTGACGATGTAAGGTGGAACGACTCTTTTTCTACATTAATAACACATTATCATGACAAAAATTGTATAGACATAAACAATGTCATACATTGAAACTCATAGTCTTGAAAACGAAGTAATTACATTGATACCAAGTAAGAAAATTAGTCAGTTTAGTTAGGGACCAATAAATATATATATATATATATAATAGTTGCTAGGTAAACAAAGACTGGAAATATTCACAGCCATGATTGGTGATTGGTAATGGTGATATCAATTAAAGAAAGCAGTAATGATGACAGGTTGTGATTACTCACTGGCTATGTAATTGTGTGTGCATTTGTGTACTGTATGAAAAGAAGGTGGTGATGAAAATTGGAAAATATCTGTATAACAGTAATCAATAACTAAGGATAAATGAGACAAAAAATAACAAAAATTGGCAAAACAACCATGAGGAATCCATTAAATTTCTTTCGATGAAGGGAACTCTTATTGAAGAAGTAGGCTGTGAAGGAAAAGAATTATAGAAGCTTTTCAGTTTATCATTCTATACATTGTACAACATTTAATTTACTGAAAAATTACTTGTGAAAAAAAAACCAACTTGATTCTTGACAAACTTTTCTAAATTGTAAGGAGGTCATGATTTTAGTAATTCTATGTATTCAAACATCCAGTTTGATTCGAAATATATTCACTTTCCTATAGTGATACTATCAAGAAATGATACTAGCAAACGGTTTGAGAAAAATCAGCCGTGCTACATTTCTATCCTCAATTTAATCTTATCATCTTTGGCATTACTTTCTATGCTTATGATATAGGATTGTTAATTAAATATTGCAAACATTTATCCCTAGTTAAGTTGAAAATCTGTTGAAGTAGTTATCGTTCCCAGCAACATGAATCCTTGTTTAAATAGAATCATCAAATTAGGATTTTTAATGATGAATTAGTTAACTATCATCTTTTCTATTGTCAGGTTAACTTTTCGAATTAAAAATGAACTTGAATATTAACTGATATCTTATATTAGTATGTGCATAAAGATAGTTTATAGCTAAAAAAAAAGAATTTACTGACTCTCCATACTTGAAAATGCAGAAATTCGACTATCTAAATTTGCACCAGAAATAATCTGCATATACAACCTGACTTTAAAATCCCACTGGTTTAAGTAGTTAATACAATCTTTATTTTGACATTATACCTGATGTCAATTTTAGATTAAATAAACCCAACATAACTGTCTGTTAATCTAAACAGTCTATAAACTTGGCTATAAAATTTGGAGGAGAAAAATGCTGAACAGTGGTTTCGGTCCCCACTCGAAGGTCTGGCCTGGAGCATGATGTTCCCTATCGGCCTTCTCAGTGTATGCCCAATTCAATCCATCTCCACTTCCTTCCACCGCATATTTGTTAGGCAATAGGTTCCTGGTTGGTTCGTTAATAGCCAGCCAGCCACAGTTCCTTCTTGCTTATTCTTATTATTCTCACCATCTGATCTGATCTTCAGTATCGAGTGACTGTAGGCTGCAGATGTTGATGAATATCTGTAGTTTGTTGGAAATGCTTTTCGTGATGCGCCAAGTCTCTCAACCATCACAGAGAAGCACTCACTTGCTTGACTGAATTTGCGTTGATAAGCTGGATCTTGTTTGCGCTTTACGTTTATGTGCAGTACAGTGGAGTGCAGTGCAGTAGATCTTCACACGGATTTCAGATTAATGAAGGCATGCCTATTTTGATGTCTTCTCGATCCTGACTTTGACATCCTCATATGTACCACCACCGCCACCGCCACCACCACCACCTGTAGTTGAAAGGATGCTGCTCAGGTGGCTAGGTAGGTGAAAGAGACAACTTCCTTCCGGTTTCTCTCATTCATAGTGATTGGTGTTTACCGTTGTTGTTGTTGTGGCTGGTTGGTTGGGTATCTTCATCACCTCTGTCTTCTATTCATTCACTTGAAGTCCTGTTTTCGCTGCCTTTTCTGTAGGGAAGTACTTGTTATACAATATGCTTCCCTGCAATTATCACAGGTCAGTTGTATTAATACTTCATAACATGCAATAAAGCTGTTTCATAAGAAGTGGAAAAGATGTGGCAGGTTGTGCAAAGAAACAGAAGCAGATGTTCGGCCAGCTGTAGACTTCATGCCTTCTGCATAGGCTTAACGAGGAATGTATATGACCCTTTTTTGTAATCCGTTCTTTTCTTCTAGAAGAGGTGGTCTTGTTTGGATAAATCGCTTTCATTCACGACAAAATGATTTTAATAAACATGTAGGAATTTAGAAAGACTTGAGAAATAGATGTTATTATTTACATAATTGCATATAACAGGTTGAGAATTTACTATTGGTTTCATTAGTTATATCTCTCACTAGCATGTATCAGTGCAAGAACTAATGACAGTGAGTAGCATTTCTCAACTGATACGTTTGTGATTTACCCTAAATGAGTCTCAACAGCAACTGGGTACTGTGGAAAGAGTTTATTGAAAGCAAGACTCATCCACCTAAATCAGTTGATTATTCAGTGTGCACAGTCCTTCCTGTCAGTCAGTTCAACTAAAAACTTGAGAATTAGAATTAAAAATGAAGTACTGTTTCACAAGCTAAAACTAATATTCGTTACAAACAGTTTGTATCACAGTTATATCACTGATTCGAATACACTGCTGAGTTTGCTCTCAACATATTTTATGCTTTGTTCAGTCGGTATCAAACTCGAACGTAGACAGACCAATGTCAAGTGAAGGATAATGATGCTTTTTGTTGAATGTAAATTTCTCACTTTATACAATCTTATTTCTCATGAAAATTCATTAGCTAAACCTATCAACAAAACTCACTTCTACAAGTCAATCCAAAAGTTCATTTAACTTGGTGGAAGCTTTGCCTGCTCTTCCAAATTAGGTTTTTTTCTTCTAAAATTCATATCTACACTGATTTGTATCCAATGGTATTTTAGCGTTTGATCTAAACAAAAAGAAGGTAAAAGCAAGAATGATGACAAATTTAATGGTCAAGTCCAGTGAAATCAATAAAAGAAGGACATTAAATTGTCTCTAGGACCAATCTAATTTTTTTCTTCTTTTTCGCATAAAAAGGATAATTTTTTACTTTGTCATTTTGATAGAAAAGAAAAACTTTTCCTTAAGGATACTGATTTTGCAAAACAAGATTATCCAATGATGACTGATTTGGGGAATTTAGCGTGTAAGACAAATTTATTAGAATTGATTGATTCCAATGTGTTAACCTATCATTGTAGGTTATCGGGTGGGACATTAATCGAATAAGGGGTCACTTATATTTTTCAAGACTTCCTGTCAATAGCATACTGTCATATAAATAATACTGAGTTCAATAAGATGCAATCATAATGAGTAATTCATTGGAATAATTCACTTATGTGTTATCATGGACAGTGGAGTTTTTAGGTAGTGAGCGACAAAAAGCTTACTATTTCATCTGCAATTTATCCCAATCTAAAGATAAAGTTACGCTGTTGCAAATAATATTGTGTTTTTTGTAACATCTGTTCTTCGAAATAAAATCAAGTCTTATCTAACCATATTTTCGTGTCCTCAGATGATCATCTTTCTTGAGAGTCCTTTTCAGAGCAGCACAGCTAATAATAATTATTTTCATACTTTGATTAATTGTAAGTGTAGTGCTATTGCATTGCATCATACTGTTTAAAAACCTTGCAATAATCACAGTCACCTATTAGTATTACTCTATATTTTAAGACAATAAGACGACTGCTAAGTTTTTTCAGTGCATCCTACTTTGTTCAAACGAGTGTAAAACAGATTAAAGGCTGAGATGAATTTTACACGATTATTATGCAAGTTGGAATTTCTTCATACTTTTCAAAAAATGCTAAACATGGTAAGCATCGTAGAAACCGACTGTAACGAACAAATCAGGGTCCATGTGATCAGATAGAAGTGTTGATACTGTTTTACTGTTGGGTGAAGACGAACAGCAAGGAGGCCTGAACCTACTTTTCTTGCTTGTTGGCACTCATCAGTACATATGAGAATATGAGAATAGAACCCAACGTCACTTGATATTGCAGTCAGAAACATTACTACTGGGTTATTTGGGTCGTGACTGATAGAGAGAATTCGATTAACCCTCCGGACTAGACAAAGTGAATTTGATTACCTTTCAGTGATCAATCAGTGTACTGCTGTATTGTCTTTGAAACTCATCCGATGGTAACATAAATATGATTGGATTTAGAATTACTGTTAGATTTTTCACCGTACTCATGCCTACTTTTGTTTATACTTTGAAATTATTATAAAATTCACATTTGAAACTCACTGTTATCATCTGAACTGTAGGAACTGAAATAGGAAGCACATTTGGTGGACCATAGTAAGCGCTATAAGTATTGGAATCATTAGTTGTTGAGTTGGAATAGTCAGAATTTTGAACAGCTAAATTAGAAAAGAAAGCAGAAGTTAAAGAATTTACCATGGATTATTATGGTAAAATGATTTACTGTCACTCTTTATAGAAAATTAAAATAATTTGACGTGCTATTGAGTGGATAGGTTGTAAGTAATGAATTGGCAACAGTTATTTGAGTGATCCAAATTATCAACGAAAATTGTCCATCTTTATGATCATATTCAAGCAGAGCACAAATGAATTGGTTTTCAGAATAAGCTTTGATTATAAGTTGGTATTCATCCCGGGTTAACATGAGCTGAAAAATTAGGGGACCTGGACATCTGTTCTTGTCTAAGATGGGACTCCTCAGCAGCGGATACCATGAATCCGCCAGGGATCGAAGCCGCAACCTTCAGGTTCCGCGGTCAGTGCGTTAATCTTCAGCCACCAGGTCGGGACTCAGTAGCCCACATTTTCCCACTTCCGTCAGTTAGTGGCATAGAGCACTTCTGAGGAGCCTTAAACAAGGGAGAAACAGTTGTCGAGTACTGTCAGGTTTTCAATGTTTATTCAACTGATGTCAGTCTTTGATTAATATCAATATGAAATCAAGAAATAAATCCCCACAAGCCTTGAAACTGAAAATTTGATCATACGAAGCTGTCCAGTATCTGTGAAGTAAACTGATACCATTTTATTCTGCGGACCTGTTCTTTCTTACTTCTTAGAATAAACAGAAGGTGTAGGTAAGTATTTTAGATCAGTTAAAGAGATATGTGTCTCAGACATGCACTAATTGGCATAAAAAGCTTTCAATTGATAAGTAAACTGAGGTAGGTGTAACTTCAGGAGAACGTTTCCGAGGCAATTTAGAAGAGATTCACACAGTATTTTAAATCCATTTATATTCATGGCTTTAGGAATATATATCTATCATTTAGAAAGTAAAACGCAGTCCGTTTTGTGGAATCTACTGACATTCCTTTATGTCCTGGTATTTCATTCATCCGGTCAGTATGTATTCAAATAGACCTTTAAACAGACTTATCACTTTCTAATTACTGATGCTAGTGATTTTTGACATTTAATCTAATGCCTTGACTACTAATCTGATAGCTAATGGATAGTATGTCTCATCTGCCCATTGTTTTTCTCCTGGTTTTGTCATGGAACGAATATGGCAATCATATGTGATAGAGTAGTCTCAAAGACAGATATTTCGTTTGATTTGTCTGCTGATGAAGGCAAATGCAATTTTTCGACCTTATATCCAGTTCAGCAGGTATATTTCCAACCAACAATAGCCATTACTAATATAGTCTTTACATACTAAACTAATTTTCATTACACTGAAATAATGTGATCATTATTGTGAGAAACCTATCGCTCTCAAACTTATTTTCGAAAAATTATTTCCTTCAATTTGAAAATAGATCAGGGTTTACAGATTCATTAACGAAGTACACTTGAAATATACAGTAAATATTCTATTTGCTGTTAATTCACTTCTTTTTTTAACCAAGATGAATGAACTTGTTTTACATCAACGGGAATTATAATGACTTATAGACAATAGGGTTAAAGTGAGACAAAAATGTTATCTTGTATTGGCGCCATTTTCATCGCAAAATATTTCTATCTTGAATAGATGGGCGTCATTAGGCTTTCATAAAATGTGTGTGCATCTTGTATTCAATGGCTTTATTTGAATACAGATGGGCACTGACAGTAATACTAAATAAAGTAAATAATCCTTTTTGTTCTCGATATATCAGTAAGGTGTTCTGGATATTGTTTTGTTGATAGTATATTAGTTTTTTGCGCCTTATGAACAATATGTTCGTGATGGATTGTGTTAATTCAAAATCTATCGATGAACCTCATAACTATCAATACAAAATGCATAAACCATTCATGGCATTCACGATGTCCTACTTAATCATGCTTCACTCTTGTCTTCTTTACGGGTATAAAGAACAAAAGAGGTAAAAGCTAACTTCCTCTGATCATTGTGATTTCGCTTTTAAGCAACAGTACTTTAAACCATGGAATATTCACATCAGTTAGAAGAGATGATTTCAGCCTTAAGCTTGTAGAACTGATGAGACGAGATAAAGTTTTCTGCACAATACATTTAAGCAGTATTTGTAAGTCATTCAACCTACTATTTATATAATGAACTCAAAGATTTCAGTGATATTCATAGCAACATGGTATTACTATCCTGAGAAAACGCTTAGGGAATATGGGGACTGTTTGAAACCTCGCGCTACTAGAATGCACGCCAGTTTAGCACGAAAGAATAAACAATATATTTGAATGCATAAGGCGACTCTTCATTATTTAGAAGCTAAAATTTTAAGATATTCTAATTGTTAAAACTTAAAAAGTTTTGACACCTTTACCTGAATGTTGGACTTTGTGAACAGTCAATTATATGCAAAGGACAACTAACTCCTATGCAAGCTGTGAAATGAATGCACATTTAAAACTTGAAGAAGATAAGGAAAACTGCTTGAGTTCATCGTAATTTTTATGATCTTCAAAACTATTTAAGTGATATATTACTGATGGAATGATACTACTACTCTTATAAGAAGACTGATATATTTGAAAATCAAAGTGTATACCGAATGGTTGCTATTGTTAACTGTAAATCCAACAGCAAGAACACTACTTTAACAAGTGACTTAACTAAGACCTGAATATTGAACTTTTAGCATTAATGGAAGTGAAACGTTATGTCTGTAAGTTTTCAGTTTGTCACTGGATCATAACTCAAGAATGAATCTGAGGCTGCTGACTAGTCTGTTGAAATCAGTAACTGCTAAATATAGCCTCACTTCTGTTTACAATTGGGCTAATTCTTGCAATACTGTTAATGAATGGCTGTAAATTGTTTTCAGAGTAGAGACTTGAAATAACTGAAGTGTCCAGTGTTAGCTGTTATGGCAGTTTCACCAACTTGTGAAGTTACAGTACATGTCGAATCAAACATAACTGCGAACCGGTTTCTTTGATAAAAAAAGTGCCAAAAGTTGAGTTGATTTCATCAAGCATATGAAAGTGTAGTTACACATTCTAACAAGTAAAAACAGCAGACAAATCTAGCCTGATCACTTAACATTTCGTGGTTCAGTTTCATTGAACCAGCTGGCACTTATGTCGTCACTTCATGCAAACGAACCTACTATAGTCAGATATTGTTAGATACTTGACCTCAGACCATGGCTTTAACGTTTAAATGCAAGAGAAACAGTATTAAAAGCCGCTGTGCTTCATTACCTGATACTAAGTGAAGCCTTTGCATTTTTGGCATCTATCTCTGAACCTGAAGTTGAAGCTGAAGACTGTTAAGTTATCCACTGCATCTAGCAAATAATTGGAAATGCGAGCTATATATATCATACAAGGATACAGTCATGTTTACCTGAGCATTTGGAGAAATGTGTCTACTTTGGATCCCATTAAAGTACTGGGAATGGGAAGTTTTAGCAGCCTCTAGATGTTAAACTACTAACGCTTACCTATTTCAGGTTAAATATAAATATTTATACTTATCATTATTACTGGGTGATGACTGAAGGTGAAACGAAAATTTGAACCGCAGCCGGATTCGAACCAATGACCACAGGGTTTCCAGCCTGGTGCTCTACTACCTGGGCTACGAGGTCTTACTGCTGACTAGATTTTGATTTTGCTTCAGTCACCATGATTTTTGTCCGACTATCATGTGAATTCGTGACGCGTTACTATCACTTGGTCGTACCCACACTGGCTGCCTAGTTAGGACTTCTCATCCCAATTCCAATCTAACGAAATTAGAAAGAGGCTATCTTATGTGGTGAAAATGATAATAATTATTAATTAGTCAAACATTTATTTCATTCTAACTTTAGTCCAAATGTTGAGCTCTATCGTTTATCAGCTGTGAAAAAAGTATCACCCACAGTTAAAGTCTAAAAATTGCTGATTTTATGACTTGAAATTTACAGTGTCTCATTAAGTAGATGCTCATGAGGTAGACGGAAACTTTAACACCACCGATGCCCATTGATTCCATAATTTGATATGCAATAAGATGAGAAATTGACTGTCGTCCTTGTATATCCTGAGAATTTTAAAGCTCCAATGTATTTTGAAGCATTTGAAGCACTTTGATGACCACTTTAGTTAGGTATGAGTAATGTTTGAAGAAAAAAACGTTTCGTTTACCAGTAATTCAAATTATTTACCTGAGAAAATATGTGAATTATTTATAGCATTTAAATTCATTTGATCTACGCATTCACTGGTATCAAATAAGGGATTCGACGTCGATATCACCTGACTGTTTGTATCTAACCATGTAGATGTATCATTGTTTGGAATAGATTTATTTCCATCAGAATTGTGTTGATAAAATGCACTGTTCACATTCTTTCGTACTGAGTTTGATACATGGTTCGCTTCATTCTTATTTCTTAAACTTATTGTTTGTATAGCTGTAGTTAAATGTTCAGGGGTTGGTGGCAATGGAAGACTTGGAGGTGGGGGTAAGTTAATTGGATGAAATAATCGACTTTCTCCATTACACTGATTAAAAGAAATGTTGATTTTAGATGGATCTAAGTTAGAACTATTGAGATTAAACTGCCTCATAACTGATCCATTAAGTGTGTCAACCTTTGCATATGGTTGTGAATCACAATCTGATCCAGGTAGACTAGTATAAATTGAATTGTCATGAAATGCTTTCTGATAGCCGGTATTGTTAAAAACGCCTTCCTTCGGTCTAAGGTAGGTTCCGTGTAAATTTGAAGTAATAGATCCACTAGAAATAAACTGGAAACATAAAGAATACAAAAGTAGAAAATACTGGGTAAAATTACGTCTAAAAAGGCAAACAATAACGTGCACCTTTATCGAGAAATCTATCTATATGTGAATTTCATTTACGGTTGAATGTATTTTACTCTGTTTGCTGTGAAAATGAAAATATTTCTTCGTATGTTGCTTTTCATGCAATGGAAACTTCTTTGTAATATATTTTTGGGATATATGGGGATTTTAATTTTGACTGACATCAGTTGGGAAACCATTGAAAACCTGGGAGCGTTGGGCAGATATTTCGCCCGAGTATAGGATTCCTCAGGAGTATGTGCCACCCACCCACCTATGGATCGAACTCAGGACCCTCAGGTTTTACGCGGAATGCGTCAAACGTTCAGCCGCTGGGTTCAGTATTTCAGTTTCCAACTGGTGCCAGTCTGTGATGAATACTACCTCAAAACTTCTTTGTATTTGAGTTACCGTCCGGAGGCTGAGTCTATCTGCCACTGAAGCACTCATACTATTCACATTTATTTAGTTAAAAGGGTATCTTGCCCACTTTCTTGTACTGTGAAGAAAATGTGAATGAAATGAATTACCTGATGAGGCGAAACACTCAGCTGGTTCGCATAACAAAACAAAAGGTGTAATGTGCATTGTGAGTGGTCATGAGGCACAACTATTCATATGACTTGTACAGATGAAACTGTTTATACTATGCTTTCTTACAGCTTCGATCTGTAAACACAGCTCATAAGATGACGTTTGATTTAGTTAGGGTGACAATCAGCTTTTTGAGATGGGACTAAACCATGTACCATTAAGTTTTTCCCGGGAACATGTAGTTTTACAAACAGAAGAACTGTGATATACGAATGATAATTTTAACTGCAAATGAAATATATCTGCGAAATCCTAGTGAGGTAGAAAAATACATTTCTAACGACTCGTGACCCCATTGAAGTCACTTCTTCAAAGAATAAAACTTAGTTTACCGATTTGATCAAATCTACGAATGTTGTTCATGCCATCTATCATAGTCACATAATTGATGTTGAAAATATTAAATTTATTCAAAAAGGTTTTGTAAACTGCAAAAAAAGACAGGTATCCGAGAAATTTCACATTATTTTGAATCCTAATGCACTCAGTAGAAGGGAAGGCCTAACAATTCAACTAACTTGGACAGTATGTCCAAAATAACACTGATACACACTAGTCATTATAAAAGTAGATGCGCACCAACAAACTGAACTCATCATTAGTATTTCTCTTCCACCTTCATATCCATTCTCACGTGCATGCCTGTTGACATCTTCACCTTGACCGCATATACTCATAACTGATAACGATGATATTTATCCCCATATTATTATTATGTATAAAAAAAGTAATCTGATTTGTCTCCATTTACCATTTACAGATGCGATAATTAGTGTAGGTTTTATTCTCTGGATAAATTACCTCCGTGGGGTTGTAAAATGACTACAACAGTAGGTGATACGGGTTTGAATCTCAAGTGGGACGTCAGTTCCGTCTAGGTTGGAGATACGCCTTGCTGACGAGTGCCAAAAAAACGAAACCTAGTTCCATAGCTTCCTGCCAATTGCTCCCAACGAAGTAACACGTTAGAAATTTATTTTTCTACCTCACCTGGATTGCATAAATATGTTTCATTCATAATCCATTTACCCAAAGCTCAATTTATTCAACTGGAATGCTTATTGTTACCATCGAAAAATAGCCTTTTTAGTCATCTCATCATATATCTACTCACTTCACAACTGAAGCACGTATATGAGTAAGCAGTGGGGTGGAAATGACTGCTTTTTTGTTGAACTTATTTGATCCATTTTTCAATAAGCTCAAAGCAACAAAGTCAGTTAGCCAAGTCACTTCGTACAGGGGTGTACTGTGTTCACTTATAGGGAAGTTGGACATCATTTTCCATAAATTAGGTTCATTTGGTGACTGACTGCGCTGTACTTCTTCATCAACAGACTTTACACACTGATGAAGACTTATGTATCATTTCTCATTTTAACACCATGCAGTATGAAAATGGCTTTCATCACCATTTTCATCGCTAGGAACAATTAAATAATTGTATGATAACCAAACCAGATTAACTTACGTTTGGTGTCATAATTGGCAAAACAGGTATTGAACCATTCAAACCATACATGTTTGGACCGGAAATACTTGTTGGGGATAAATTAGTATTGGCTTCATTAGATGACGAAATGAACAAATTATTCTGCAGATTTGTGTGTGCTGAATAATTTTTATTTTCCACTCCGGCTTGTTGAAATGTTGGATGAATGGAGTTTGTTGTTAAATTAATACTGATCGGAGATATTCCATTAGTAGTGAGAAGCTGAAATCCACCTAAGTAAGCTGTTGTACTGGGTAGTCCTGTGTTTACATCTTGACATCTTTTTGGATGTTGAAATTGATACTGTATGTCTCCTGATACACTGTTACTTGTACTGACAGTTGTATTATTCATAAGATTGTTAATCTTCACCTGATCTGCTAGTAAGGAAGCATTCTGAGTGCTTGACTTATTTACACATGAATTAGAATCAAACTGAGTAGAATCACAAAACCTTTGTTTGACCTGTTAAATTTGCGGCGAAATGGAGCTCGTAAACGTTCCCTTCCCCAGACACAGAATAAACAAAATAACCCACAGCATATTAGTATTACCAACAGACTACAAATGATGGCAAGTACATAAGTTGTTGTCTGTCCTAACGGATAGCCTAAAGTAGATGTACCTTGATTTAGTAAATATGGAAGGCCTGTAGTTGCACTTCGAGATTCCTGTCGAACAATTTCATATGCAGTCATTTCCTCTGGTTTAAATTTCAGGTTGGACATTTGAGCTTTAGAGACAAGAACAGAAAACAAACAATTTTTAGCCAATGTAATTTCACTTATCTTGATCAAAGCAATCATATAAAATATTGTCTTTCACGTAGCATAATCAAACACTCCCAAATTTACCGCTTCTGGTTAGTATTGTAATAGAAGACTAATGAGATACTTGTGGACAAAAATTTCCACAAAGCTTATTTGCAACTTATAGGATTGTTGCTGTTGATTTTCTGATTAACTCTTAACTTTTTCCTAGCAAATAACAGTTATTCAGAACGGTATTTACTTCAGAAAATATCATATCATATTCTTGCATAAATTATGATGGAATTTGAACTGTCACACTGTTATTTCTTAAAGTAACTCTTTTGGATTCCACATAACATGAATATGGTAAATAAAACAGTTTCATTTCTTTAAAATGTCATACTGAAGATGAATATTAATGCATTTATGTACCCTCCTATATGTAGCTTAACGACTATCTACTATAAAAGTAACGGAAAAATTCCTCTTAAGTGATGTTCAAGATATCGTCATCTATAGACGTATGTTCTCTAAAATCAGAAAGGTGTTCCTTTTAAGCAAAGATACTCCTAGATGTCTGATCTTTTAATATTACTTGATGAACAGTTAGTTCCATAGGTAATCACTACCGGAGGTCTAGTACACAGTCAGCTGCAAATAGTCTTTTCTTTGAACTAAAATGCTTTAATAAACAAAAGGCGAACAGGTTGGAGGCGTATAAGGTTGCTAACTAAAAAGATGAAGAGTTCAGTAATAGACGTTTTTGAACTATACTTTGTGCTCCTTACAAAAATCAGATCTTTTTGTAAACAGTAATATAGCCTGCGAAACACAAGCTGAACTGTTTATCGTCCAGGAGTTTGAAGTACAGTGATGATGTTAAAACCGTTGACTTTTCGGCTATGAGTGCTGATGGTATCCGAAAATTAGAACCTTGTGGCGGATACAAAAGGATACAGAAACCAAACAGAAATAGTTTGTCTTTAGAAAAATTCGCTACAGTAAATCTGGTTTTTATTTTGCTAATAAATAATTTTGCTGATAAATACTGATAATTGGTTGAATTCCAACTTAGCTTAGTGATATGTGGTTCGCATATCGAATGAAAGACTCAAGCGGAAATCGGCTTCTAATATATTACATAACTGCTGATTTGAAATTTTTACCTTGCACAGTTAGTCAGATTTGGATTCTTCTGTCTTCAATTACCTGGTAACCTCAGTCACAAAAAAACACCACTCTACATAGATATAAAAGTAACCCGTATTAACTTAAGTGGCCAACTAAGGAGAGTGAGCTACCACACTGCATTATAGTATCTTCCTCAGAATATGCTTAGATACATAAATCCATCCATTAAAACAAGGTGATAGTGTGAACACAGTGTGTATCATACTAAAACTTAAGAAGAATTGAATCTTTAATGCATGCATCATAAACAGAAGAAATTAATTATTAGCTATTGAATACCTTTGTTACTTTTACTCTTAAGTCGCTTCAAATTAAACTGTTATGCCAAAAAGACCGGGGAAATATATATTTACCAAAAGATTTGAGCGAAAGATGAGCTTATTCAAATATAATAGCATCAAAAAGTAAGCCAAGAGAATTAGTCACTAACGTTGTATCAACCTCGATATTTCTGAAAAATTTAAAGCTAAAAAAGATTAGAGTTATTAATGTTTACTATATACCCTCATACCGACTGACTTTTTAAGAGGAGAAAGACCATCAGTAGACTACTAAACATTGTTAGACCATCAAAGTTAACAAATAACAAGATCAAAGGAACCGACAACATTTTGGTTTACTTTTAATCATGTAAGATGTTTTACTTAAAGAATGAAAAAAATTCTTGATTGATATTATTTCTGTTTCATTTGCATCTGCACACTAATGTACTATACCTATGCACAATATGGGTGAAAATGATCAACTTAAGCTCATGTAACAATGGCTTTGAGAACTGTTAGCGATATTACTAACAGTAGTAGCGAGAAGGACGTCTCTAATGCTGAGAATAGAAGATATTTGTCTTAAATTGAGGATATAAGGAATTATCTTTTTTGTTCTGGCCATTTTAAAAATATTTTAAAACTATTATTCCTTGGTGGTTACTCATTCATTCATACAAATGGACAAAAGAAACACATTGACAATAAATTGATAGATTTTGGTAAGGAAATAAAAAAATGATTGAGAAAGCTGAGTCATTTCCTTTGATGTTTTAATTTTTTATTTGTTTATTTTATTTATCTCGGAGTAAATTTGGTCCTAGTGGTTTATCATCTCATCACTGTATATCTGTCCTTATAACTTTCTTTATGGAGAAACAAGTTGATGTTTTCACAAATATATTTGTTTACTTTTTAGGTTTGATGACCTAAGTGATATTTTAGGTGGATGACAAGGTTATTATTTAAAAAATGATGTGAGCAGTCATTCGCACTTTTAATAAACTAATTTTTGATGCAGGTTGCTGGAAAGCAAAAACTCAATATCATAGTGTAGGTTCCACATAATATAATAAGAGTTTACACTCGTCAGTAAGTTAATAAAATCTTAGACTGACTGATCATTATAAATCAGATGAGCTCAAATTCCTGGGATAAAATTTACAGTAAGTTCGATACACATGAATTACACTTATCGCCTTCAGTGCCAAAGGTTTGAATGCATGTTTTATCATGGGCGAAACCCAAATAAAAAGGTAAAACCCTCAGTATATATAGTCAGATAGTTAATCTAAAATCCAAAAATGCAGAGGGTTTTCTTTAGTATGTGCTGAACTTCTTGATTTCCGTGCATCGTGAAGTCTATGCGTGGGAGATGGAAATTCTACCACTTTCACCATTAACTTTATCATTTTTTCAGTTAAAGCTATGAATACACCTTCCAATAATTTATCAAGATATGAATTACAAATAAAGGTAATTCTATCTTGAGAGTGAACATAATAGTCCCATTAGTTATAAAGACGATACATTAGTTATCACAGATGGAGGTGAACAAAAGAACTCACAGCTTGATCAGTAGTTTTCGACTACGTTGCATCTGAGAGAGAAACGCAATCAAACAGTACAATTTCATTTTTAAATGTCTTTATCAGTGAAACCAGCACTGGAAACCTGGGAATTCAAGTGTATATAAGATCAAACTACACATCAGTGACTAAACTGTAACGTTAAAGACTCAATAGAATGCAAGAGAAGCTGCTTACGTATGTCATTCAAAACAGTCAAAACACTAGTAAATAAGACTGCATCGTTGTGAAGTTTATCAAGTGAACTAGTTTAGTATGGAATTAAACTATCACGGTGCCCAAAGTCTGCAATTAGCATTCTATGATGTTTTGGATTATCTCTGTCAATAGTACGTAAGTTGTTTAAGAAATCTCCCTGTAACGAGAAGCTAGTAAAACGCCGTATATCTTAGGTTATTTCTGTATGTGCAACTCATTCATTGTGTGATAAACAAAGTGGACGAATTCATAGTATCTTGCAGCTTACCAGACTCCTTAATTCCCTAATAAACCAAAGTTTCTTATTCGATAAACCATACAGACTCATTGCAAAATTGGAGCTTAGGAAACAGCATGCTCAAAGAATAAATATAGCGGGATGGTTTCAAGTAGCTCTAGTACTTCTCGTTCATAGGTTGTTTTGGAAAAAAATCAGGGTTTATGGATAGAAGATGCTAGTTATTTTTGAGATTGTTAGCATGCGAAGTCTGACATCCTAAAGTAACCCATTTTGAGGAGCTTGGAACGCTAGGATAACTTCATTTTTTATTGTTTCTGTCGTCAGAAAGGGATTTCATGAGAGTGATAAGTGCCAACGAGGTAGGAGATTAATTGCCGAATACTAAACTTCATCTTCTGTTAAGCCAACTTTTAACAGCAGTGGCATAAATTTTACCATTCACCAGTGCCGTGAATTCGGGTCATCAAGACTATGGTCGGTAATGCAAACGAATTAGGGTTGTTGAAGTTGATGTGAAGTTGCATTGTTTACAGCTCTCTCCTTCTCTTCTTGGACTACTTGCAGAGTTAATGACACATGTTTACACATTCAGCAGGTTTTAGGTTGATGAATTTTTCATATGCGAACATTTTTTCAGTGGTAGGTTGTGGTTTGTTGGTTTAATGACAGGATTTACTATAATGCGTCATAAGAAAACAATCCTGGCTTGAAATATATCCGTTCCTCTACGATCAGTTTGTTTTTTCTCTTTGTGCATAATTATGAAAGATTTTTGAAAGATTTTATTCACGTATTTAATTGACTTAGAATGACTAGGAGAAAATAAAGCTTCCTCCGATGCATTGCACCAAATGAACATGTGTGGTACAATATTTTGTAAAGTCAGGACACTTATTTCAGCTATCAAATTATTATACTTTTTCAAGCACTTGTAACATATTAGAAACACACTAACTGCTCATCATAGACAAGTCAGTATAAATTTTTCTTCCCACATAAAAGCATACTGCTTCATCACTGATTATTTAGTTTTAAACTACTTTATGTCCACTAAGTTATTTTAGCTAACACAGTAGACTTATTTTTCTAATGTACTTGAAGTAAATTAACCTGGTAAATTGGTCTAGTGAATTATTTCTGAAAAATGATTTATCGCTTGCATCAAAAAATTTTCACTGGATCTAATTTGTTAACGAAGTAATAAGTTGAATATAACATGGAATCAATTTACCACAGTCACTGAATTATATAATGACTAAATTACCTACAGGAGATAAAAATGATAAATTAATAAATGTAATGAAAATGAAGAATAAATTTCTACCTTTCTACTTTTTATATAGGTCTATCCAACTGTTTACAGTCAATTCGGTGAGTATATAAAATGAGAGTATTAAAGGATAAAAAAAATTGATGTTTAGTTTTCTCTGATAGTGAATAGATGGACGGTGATTGAACGTCGATGAAGACTAGTAAGTATTGTATAATTTCCATATAAGGAAAAGAATTTTGTCGTTTCCTAAAGATTTTTTCCACTTTTTTATCAGATTGAGGAAAATAACGTATTTTCCTGAGAATACATTTATATTCGCTTAATAGTGTGACTTTTTCTGTTGATTTTACTTGGAAAAAAAATTAGGTCTCATAAAAATGGTTAAACTGTAAAATATTTACATTTTCTTTACAAAATGTGAATTCTAAAGTTCGCTAAAGAGGGAATGAATCGTGTAGGGTGAAAAAGAATGATATCAATCACTGTCTTATAATTAGTTTAATAGCTGTATCTTTATTTGTTCCATTTTCTCCTTTGGTGAATCTCAATAAATACACATAAATACTAGATGTGTACAATAAAATAGAGATCTAACAGAAAATAGAGTATATTGTTCAGAGTAAGATGTAAAAGCAATAGCATTATTACATGTTCAGTCTCAGGAAACATGGGTAACTGAAAAATAAACATGAAAATCTTGAGATTTATGTTTTACCAGCAATTACACTAATAATTATGGGTGACAATTTCAAGGATTGTAAAAGTTTTATAAAACTCAAAGATAAATTTTAGGTGGGCTTTAAGCATCATAATAGAATGAAACAAACGACTAATTTTTATATAAAAGCATTGAGGCGTTGATAGTTGTTTTGCAAAATTTATAAAGAATTGCAAAAGATTTGCATGTTTAAGTAGTATTTTTGACTACATTGTTTGCGTTCATTTAAAGATCCAGGGTTTAACCTTAATAACATAGTTGCAAATCGAATTCTCTGTGGCTTTCAAAAAAAAATGAAAACCCTGTAGGGATAAATGGAAGTAATCTTTTAAATTTATTCCGTATTCCTATGAAAATTTTTATGCATAATAACTCACACGTATAACTTAACTAGTACTTTAAAATAAATTAAGAACGGAGTAGACTTTACTGAATGGCTTGCGCAGAACCAGAAACTTATAATCAGCTATTATAGGTGTTCGCCTGCTTTTTACAGCTTTAGAATTTTCTATCCATTCACATAGGAAATGTCAGTGGGATTTTTGAGATTTTCAGTACATTCTTTCGGTAGTTCCTTGGCTTGCCTCTTTACAGTTATTTCTCAACTTCAAAATTTCAGCTTGCTTAGCACGTCTTTAGTATTTTGCTATCAAGGATGATTCATTTCAGTTTTAGACTCCTTGGAGTTAACGATAGGCCAAATATGACGCTTATTAATATTGAATCGCAATTGAAACAAACTTTTAAGTGACTATTATTAAGGAGTTCACTTAATAAGTCAAGGTTGTAGCATTTATACGTTAATAATTGATCAAGTTAAGAGTCCTTATACTGAGTATTGATTCAGAATAGCCTTCAGACTAATACCACTCAAGCTTTAGTTAAACTGATGAACCGGATTCCACTGTTACCAATTACCTATCTTCACTGATATAGAAACAGTTAAATAAAATTTAGCAATACATGGAACATCTGTGTTACAACTGATCTTTGAAGACTTGTGTTTTATAAAGTAAGCAACGTGAGTGGTTCACCATGTTCAATTGGTAATTTTTGTTGAAAAAAGTGGAATATATCTGAGGTTAGACAGATAATTATCATACTGAATGACCTCATTAAGCCTATTTGAACTTTATATGGTGTACTTTAACTGGTCTTGTTATTCAATAGACTTCCGTTTATTCAACTTACTATAAATATGCATACACATACTCAAGATTTTTTTAGTTTGGTCAATACAATGAACAAAATTACTGCCAGTGATCACACCAGTTGTGTGTATGTGCTTTATAAATGTATTTACAACAGATGGATTCAGTTTGTGATACAAAATCTCCTCAGGATTATACTACATTTCCTTTTTGCAGCAAACTTATCACATACGTCAAAATGAGGTATGATTTGAGTCCTGTTGATCTATTGTATACAGGTAACCTGAAAACGGTGATGATATTAGTTTAAAAGTCACTACGAGGTGTTGCATTAAAGACAGTATATTCAGGTGAATAATAATATCAGTCAGCCAAAAGATCTTTCGCTGATTTCGATATGATTTCTTAATAGAGTATGGTATAGCATTTTGATAAAAGTGTGGATTGATAATACATTAAAAGACATTTCTAGACCAAAACTTACTGTTTTCAAACAAAATTTCTCCAACAGCTAACCACTGGCTGTTAAAAAATATTCTCAACTCCACAAACTCTCCCAATCCAAATATATCTGGCTTCTTTGATTCACTATTATTATTGCTGTTATACAGATGACCAAGAGTATTTGACTGGTGTTTTGAAACAGACTGTATTCCATGATATAACTCGACTACTTCGTGTATTGGTAGTGTAATCCAACGTGAATCTGTATTCTGTTTGTCTGGTGTTACTTGATAAAGTATAGACGATGACCACAGATTTCGTGGTGGTTCTTTTGCTGGTCGCGTCTGTGTTTAGTCCGATGTCCACGATAGTAATAGGATAGAGAAGGATCTTGAAAACTAAATCCAACTGTAATATTTCGAGGTATAGTTAAGCCAACTAAAAAATCATTGGAAACATATAACCGTATCGAAGAGAAATTGTAAATCATATCAAATCGAAAAATGATACGAATAAAATCATATTCCATTTCTGCATTATAATTCGAGGTGATTGAATCCACAATTGATTCTGTTGATAGGGTAGTAGTACTTATTGTTTTAGATGTCATCTTTCTTCGCCAACCAACAAATTTATGACTTGAGAAAGGACTGAAGAGAAAGTAAAAGGCCATGCATTAGATGAGGAATTATTCTTCTGTCGAGGGTAAATTTTCAAAATTATGTGCATTGTATGCAACTGTCATATTCTGTATAATATAGTAGGGCATTTCATTTTGATACGAGTTATTTTTGTTTTTATTTCTCAAAGTTGAAAAATACAATAGTTATTGAATGTAGACATGTATGTCAAACTGTCATAGTCATCTTCGTGGTGCATCCAACTTCATTACAGAGGAAACTTTATCCACTTTTTAACTAAACATTACTGCTTAGCGTAATGGTAGTTTACAGGTAGGGATGGAAAGTTGGAAACGATGGTTGCCTTGAAGGCTGAAGTACTAGAATTATCATCTTCCAGAAGATGAGCACCCCTTTTTCTGATCACAGACAGTGTATGCTACTTCTATTCCCAACTATAACAGTTATCCTTGAATAATAAGGTTTTATATGGGGGATATTTTATTAGTAGATAGGTGGTGAATAATGAGACATGACAGAAAGCAAATTACATAATATAGTACTTGAACTGTTGGTAAATTTTTTGAGCACATGGATACATGTAGACAGACTTCACATTATTATTCTAAAACCTGATAAAGTCACACTGAGAGAGCTAAATTAAAGCATGCGTTAGGAATTTAAAGTAACCGGTACCTAGATACTGATTTATACTGACAAGAGTTATGCAGTGTATTTACGTTCGCTTAAATCCCTACGCTGCTACATTATTTAAGGTATGGGAAGTGAAGTTTTCTAATAACTGTTGTTAGGTTTATTGAGTAAACATTTTTAGGAATGCGGATAGTTAGGCGAAAATGGGTTATATATATATATGGTATTAGTGACTCACCTTGTGCTTGCCTTGAATTCTGTGTCATTATCAGTTAGCTTGCCTAATCCACCTTCAATGATTGTTTGATATGCCTTTTCATCACCAAAATCTTTCTGCATATTATCGAATATGCGAAATTTATGTGACTTTGAATCGTATGATGTGTCCAGTAGACGAGTACGTTCACTAGAATGGCTGTTACCATACATTTGATGACTAGAGGAGATAATTTCTGGCAGTAATGCTCCTTCAGGTGCTTTGTATTCTACTATACCGTCTGAAGAGAAAAAGAATTAGTAATAAGATATTTTATCGCCGTTTACTTCACGAAGTGATAGAATAAGTAGTTTAATCTAAAAATAAATCAGTCAACTTGAATGCTGAAATTATATTACTTTGCATAGGATTTCTCTGGGTACCTGATTAACTGTAGCGTGCCTTACTGTACTTCAGCTTATTGATATGCTCCAAATTTTTATCTAACTGAATACTCATTTGTTTAAAGGTCATATAAGATTTTTAAAAGTCACACGTTTAGTCACAGAAAGATCCCTCACTATACGATTGGTTTTCATCTTTATATGAAAATTTATTTGTATACCCTTTGCTGATATTCATTATACTGGATATATTAGCCTCAGTCCGTGAGTTTTAAAAGCACTGCTTTCTATTTTAAATGCTTTATTAAATTGAGTACTTACTTGCTTCACAGCCCAGTAACTCCAGCTTCAAACATGTCTTCGTTGGCTCCAAGCTGAATGGATAAATACGCACGTAACGTGCTACAAATGGGGGGTCCATTGTGTTAAAGTTTTCTGTCATAGCGTCCTGATTTCCAGCCAGGCGCTGAAATAAAATAAATTGGTGTACGGAAGGAGACAACGTAGCTGCTTTTGATAATGAAAAAACAACAAACGGGAATACCATGTTTTATCATTTTAAATAAATTTATTTAACTCACAAAGTCAGTATCTCATTTGACTGTCTTCATACTTCACGTTCATAAATAATTTGATTTTCTACCTAGTACTTTGCTAATTTGACTTAATTTCACGTTTCGTAAGCTTGAATAACGATATCCTTACTTAAGAGTTCATCATAGTGTGAAACATCTTACTAATAGTGGTATAAAGAGTATTTTAATTATATCACAGAGACGGAATAACAAATAAAATTGCTACAAGAATAGGTTTCATATTATAAGCACAAATTCTCGTGAACACAGCGAATTTTTGAGCATATTCCAGTTATCTTTGTATTCTTTATTCTGGAATCGTAGAAGACTGGTAAAAAATTTATAGTTATTTTAGGTATTTTCACTCGAGAGAAAGGTTTGATTAGCTTGCCAATATTTCCATGTTACAACTGTTCGCTAGATCTCGTTATTCTTTATTATGTATAGTTAACCAGCACCACTTTTAATACATATTTGATAAATGTTGTACAACGAGTAAGCTGATGCAATATTATGTGTTGAAAATTCTTTTCTGTAAACAAAACTGTGGTTCGCAATACAGCAAATATATTAATGTTAGTTAACACCACATAGATTAGTCAATGATCAGGTGATTGGTTGACACTGACACACCTAATAAAGCTGAAATTCAGAGGGATCTGCAAGTAACAACGAACTATGACATACCTAGCTCATAAAACCTACCCTTAGTATCTCTTAAAGATAGAAGCTGCGTAGTTTGTTTGGGATTTAGCAGACTGAGAGCGTTCTAACACTCTAATATCAGGTTATCATCGTTCACATTTTCCAGAAGCAACTTATGCTGCTTTTGAATTATTAAAAGTACCAATCCACTAGCAACTGACACGAAAATACAGACTATTTTTATAATCCAAACGGTTTTCTAAGTGCACGGATCGCTGGTTTGAATGAATTGGACACGGCTTCGTCTAGGCAGTAGATGCATGGTCGTCTATTAGCCCTACAGCATATACTCAAACTCCATTACATATAATTCAGGGCAACAGTCATTTGGATTTTGATATCAGAGCTGGATTCAGATAATCGGACAGAAATCTGCTTTGAAATGGTTGTTCAGAAAATAGACTCATGAGTTCATCTTTATAGAAAAGGAACCAGTTCAAAAATACCCAAGCCTTAGCAGGGGTGTTTGTCAACTTTATTAACGGCCTAATAACAACTGCTTAGTTGAGAATGATTCTTGAATTTCAATTCCGTTCATTTTCTTTGCCATTTATATTATTTTTGAGAAAGCTGTGAAGGTGCGTAGTTGCATGGATTGCAGTCTAGATCTGATATAAAGAGAATGGTGTCATTCTGAAGTGCGCAAACACACGTATTATTTAGAATTTAATATAATGTGCTGCAGATCAGTGTTTGTAGTCATAGTGTGCACTTTGCACCAATAAAGTGAATAGCACCTCTACTACATTAGCAAGAGACTCTTCCTGCACTCACCATTGGCAGTGGTCGAAAGGTTCGTGAATACGAGTGGTATTGTGACTGCTGATAGATTTGTAAAGGATAAACGTGTATTGTGAGGCATATAATATCATACACTAGTTTGGATAACCTGTGATAACATCGTAACAGTAGACTGCCAAAATAGAGTCGAGTGTATTGCTCTCCGATGTAAGCAGTTATATTCCATGCTTATGAAATCTGGTTTTTTAGGTGAAATATGTTTAATGACTCGGTCAGAATGGTTTCCCGGCATTCTAAGATACAATGGAAATCATCTGGTACTAAGTGGAGGCGTATTTAAACACAAGCTCTCAATTTTTTGGCAAACAGTACTGTTTCGTGTGAATGAATAGCATTATTGGAAAGAAGAAGGTTTATTTCCTAATTGTTTTATGGGCACATTTCATGAGAAGCTAAGACAAATAGACTGCTGTTCCACTTTTCCAATTTTTAATCTCCTAAATCAATTTATGAAAGCTTAGAAGTAATATATTTTCTGTTGGTTCGAGCCATAGAATACTTATCCTAATTGCATCAAAACCATATAATCTAATCATAGCATAATTTTAGAATATTTTTTGTCGCAGATTATGTAGTCACTACTGCTGTATTTAGCATTATGAATTTTAGTACTTACTCAACAAATTAGGCATTGGTAATTCAGAGGATAATAACCAACTTAATGTTTTCCAGTTCCATACATTGCCTAGGAGAATCATCATCGATAATCATTAGAATCCAGTCAACTCTTAGAACTAAACAGCATTGGTTAGTCCTGCTGTCGCAAACTAGCGTATCTAATCCTGTCATACAGAGGAAAGTTAGTGGCCTTAACGGGTCAGTGGTAACGTTTTTGACTACAGTGCTGCATGATGTGGATTCAAGTCTCCGATGAAACATGGGTTCCTTAATGGTTTTCTATATTTTGTTCTGATGAGTACTAACAAGCAGCAAACCTAGTTCGTAAGGATCTATACCAGTAGCCTCCAATAACTTAGTAACAGCATATAACGGTTGGTGAAAAGCAGTCGATATTTTTTAACCTACTGACAATTGACGCTTGTGACTGTCTGAAGGAAAACTTTTTTCACCACTATAGTGTACCACTGTTTGAATTTGTATTTGAATTTTAAACTTTGAATACATTCTTGGATATGGCTTCCTGCGGCACACGTTTTACAATAGTCAACTTCTCATTTGTGTTCCCTTTTCTTTGCCAAACGGTATGAGCAGAGAATATACCAAAAGGCGAGTCTAGCTTTTTTAAACCAAAGGTTGAGTTTTGTGAAATTAAAGTTATAGGTTATAGATGAACGGCAGCTGAATATAAGCTTTGTTCTAACTCAACTAAAAATAACTTGTATTTCTTTGGTATATACAGGGAAAAGCATAAGTTTTCTTCTTTAGGTCGACTCGGAATTCCTTCTGTTTATAAGCAGTGATACTAAACACTATGATTATGTAATTGGTTACAGTAATAATAACTACAATACAAGCATAATACTAATTCATGTATTGACGTAGAACTAACATACCTTTGTACCATTTTCTTTTTCGTAGTCAAACCACGTACCAGTCAGTTCACGACGATATTTTATATAGAAATATGGTGTTGTCTGTCTACCCTAGAGTAAAAATAAGTTAAGGATAAATGAAAAAGTAAATTTACTTGAAAAAAAATGCGAAAAATAACAAATCTACTACTGTCCTGTGATATATTTATGTCATGCATAAACACTAATTATACAACACTTACTGATTGTCATGTAAAGTATGAGTGAAAATGTCTTGGAATTACTTTAAATTTGTAACAGTTGTTAGATAAGAGGGATAGGATACCTTTAGCCTTATTAAACTGATCGTAAAACACAGTACACCTCTACAGACAACTAATGATATCTTTTTGAACATATACATGTACAGTGTCTAGTTTGTTACCTGAAAATTCACTTGAATGAAATGACTGTTTAACATGAGATAAATTTGTGTCTTGTGATATAATCTTTGGTTGTATTATTTAAAACGTATATTGACGACATATCATGAACTACGTTGACAACAAAGAAAAGAAAATGTGTACCTCATTCCATTTCCTAATCAACTTATAGGTTCATTTTTGTTTATTTAAAGAAAGTGTTTCGCCTAAGTATCTGCTCTATTCAGGAAATGACTTCAGGGACCTATAGAAAAGAATCATGTATATGTATGCAGATAGCCCTTTTTAGAAGCGAACTGAAACTAAACAATTGTCAATCGTATTGACTCTAAAACTGTGACGGCAAGAATTAGGTCTTCTTTCTTGAAATTTTGTGTTAAGTTCTTATCCCTTCAGTATACACCCAGTGACTGCAAAACATTACAAATAGAAAACTGATCATCATGATTAGATTATAAATCTAACATCTTCTGATGGTTGTATCAAAGTGTGGTTTTGTTGACTAATAAAACCCTCACTCAGTCCACTTATAAGTTTATAAGTTATTGGGGATAGATTACAATACTAAGGAGCAGTAAAAGGAATTTTGTAAAGAAATATAAATTGGTTTATCAGAGTGAAGCGTAAGGTAGTTCGATCAAGTAGACGAAGGGAATTGAACTCATTTCACCCCATGGTGTTTATTTTACTTTTTAAATATTGATGAGAGAAACAAATGCTACATGACATAAGAACTGTTCTTAAAAAGTTAATTAAAGTACAAATGAAAGTTCCGAACCAGTAAAAAATAAGCCGTTAGGTTACCTTTTTCATAAAACTGCTACTGAGGTTTGTGAAAATGGAATTTAACTTAAATGTCATTAGTTTTGTCATTATCAATCAGAAATAAATTGCTTCAAATATTCTTCTTAAGTAACAAGGTAATTCATCCTTCAAAATTATTTGTATAAGATAATCCAGTGTCACTTTATTCACCTTTGTTTTCAGTTCTGCAATAATTCACACTGAAATGTGCAAATTTCTTATCTTTTCCTTAGGTTCTTCGTGAACCGAAAGGAATGGATGATTTCGGGCTCACATCAATTGCACAAGCCAACTCCATTTAAATTTCGTCAATGAATCAAGATAGAAATCTTGAAGTAGATAGACGCTAGCGATTAATGAAGATTTAGTATTACTAGTGAGTAGTTACCACAATAGATGGTTTGGAAATCACCACAAAAATATTTCTTCTTTCTTCATAGAAGCAGACATACCGAGAGAAGTAGAAGTAAAAGTATTGCTCATTTATTTAGGAATAATTTAGGTGGTAGAACTTTTTATATGGAGTCGGTAAAATATTTGTAGCGAACAGTATTTCAATGAGATTAGTAGCACACTTCTTAATTCATCGGTCTTTGCATGTCTGTTGGCATGGTAAATGATAAGACAGTGGAAATTACTTCCGAATGTAAAATATGAGCAGTTCAGCTGGTGCTTTCTGTATTTTCACTGTGCAATCACAAATCTCATGAAGTAGATAAGGTTGTCATTAGAAGTACTCTAAGAACATTATTGTAGATAATGGCGAAAGTATTAATTTTCATGAATAATGTTAGTGGTGGGAGATTCAAGAAGTAAACTATTGCATTTTTGCTAAGGATATAATATGATTCAGAAAAAGGCATTGAGAATAGCTTTCCTATAAGAATCCATAAATAATCGGTTCCGATAACGTCGAAGGTATGGTGGAACTTGGAAGAAATAATTGGTTTATTAGCTAGTGCCAACAGTTTACATATAACTCAAGTTAATGATTCCTAACATGTGTTTACGCATATCTAACGTCAATAAAAGTACATTTGATGCTCTGGTGAACCTGTATCATCTTTCCGGTGAAGCTTGATGAATTGAAAAGTCTGTAAAGATATTGTAGTTAGTTTCCACGAAATTTCTTCAAACGTGTACGTGATGAGATGTGAGAACATGACAAATGACTTTCCCTACATTTAGGTTAGGAATAAGTAGATATTCAATTGCACTAAGTAATTTAACATAAAATCAGCTGTTATGAGTAGTTTAAGCTTCATTATTTTCTGTTAAATTAGAAATTTGTTGGGTGGAGTAATGGAAACCTTTGTTGTACGAAACAGTTTAGCTAGGAAGATTAGTCTGGGCACTGTGTGGTTTGTTGTATATATTATTTTTACAGTAAATGGTCTTCAATAAATACCTGCTATTCTAGAATAGAGTACTACAAAGAAAAATGAATTCAATGTTCATCCGAAGAACCATGTATAGGAAAATTTCAGGGAGCAAAGTAGAAGGATGCGCTTGTAACTTAGTGACAGAGTCTAGGATGTTGATACTGATTGACGGTCAGCTTAGATCTTCTATGGAACACGAAATTTTTTAGGGTTATCAATACTTTCTACAAAAAAGGAGCACTACTGAACAGTGAACGGCAATTTATAGCGCTTTTAATTGATGAATATAAGATTAGCGCAACAGAACACCAGTTTTCATGTTTTAATAATATAAGATTATTGAATGGAATGTCAAATGAACCAAAGTATTATTTAAGGCTGTTTTCATCTTTTGAGCTTCAAATAAACTTAGTGATTTGCCCTTAAGAAATATTTACTTTACGTCCGTTTACAACTTCAGATTTCGTCATATAGGTTGGGAATTCTTACTTCACTTATCATTGGGGTATAATTTATTGAGGTTATTTTTCGAATACCTTGAGGCAAAAGAGAAATTATAGCTTTAAGACTTATCAGCGGAGATTTATTAGGGTAAGGGACTAACACAATCTGTGTGGACATGGAGTTATATCACTAAAAGACTGAAGGCAGCTTTAAAAAGTGTTGGAATGAAAAGTGAGGAAGGTTTCATTTCCTTCATTGTAAGCATTGTAGTGGATAAACATGCTTCATGTAAGCTTTTCTCACTTACTACTGAGTGCATCTATAATAAGTTTGCATAAAATCTGTGAGACTCATATGTGTGCTCAATACGTGGCCTTTCCGAATCAAAGAATACTGATTCAAATCCTACTACAGTCTTTGCATTTTTAACAAGCCTGGTCATCGTCCTCATCTACACATATGTCAATTTGTCAGTCGGTCAGACAGTTATTTGTTCACGATAGATCCAAAGAAAAAACTTGACCGCTGTATGACAAAATTAGCTACACTGAGTTAACCTGATTAGACAGAAGTTTGATTGTTTAATTAGAACTGCGTACATCTTAACAACCTCAGTGTGAGGTCATTAGTTTGTGTGGTGAGGTTGAGCTCGCTTTAAGGCAACATGAACAGTGCATTGACAGTCGAAACCTGATCCATAACTTCTTGTCATAAAATATCTTGAGAAATTCTACTACTCACCTTTATATTGACACTGGAATTTATTATGTAGGATAATAACATGATAACTGCCAACAATAACTCCTTATTTCATGACACTACAGACGAAAAGTTGATATACACAATGCTAGAAACCTTTTCACTGCTATATTTTGCAGCTGAAATTGAAGCCAGGATCGCTCAAAAATCGCCAAAGTAATACAAATGCATCACAGTGTAGTGTAGCATTTAAATTTACATAAATCTAACTGTCGTTCGGGACTGCTATGTGTCTACACTGTTAGAAAATGGCCACTGTGATAAACATATCACTACCTACTCAATTTATGGTCATAATTCAACCTTATCAGAAGAATTGTAACGCTGGTACATTTAAAAAATCAAAGATCATCTCATTAGCATTGTCAAGATAAAGTGTGTTATTTGAGACTTGATTGCTGATCCATCTGGGGAGGTGAGTACATTGCTTCAAGAGCATTTTGTTTATAATTAGATTGTGCGGAATATATGCATAAAGATTTTAAGGAGGAAGAAGTACCTTTGAAATCAATGACTGAAGGTTTTCATCTGCACAAAAGGTATATGGACGATACTTTTATTATTTATGATCATCAATATGATTTGAATCATGTTCTACAAATATTCAGTAACTGCTACTCAGCAACTAGATTTACCCTTGAGGTCGAAAGTCGACCGAAAATTCACTTTCTTGATGTAGAGCTGACAAGAATAGCTGATGAAACGAACGTTAAGTAAGTGAATTTACAGGAAACCAATGTGGAATGGTCAAATGACGAACTTTGGCAGCTAGGTACTTAAGAGTCGTAAGCGAAATTCGATCATATCTCTGCCACTCGCATTGGACGAATCTACAGTCCTGATGTGTTAGAAGAGAAAATTTCTGTTCTATAGAACATCCTGATTGAAAACGGATTCCCACCACGCTTCATAGACAAACACATATAACCTAAACCTCGCAAAAAGAACCATACCACCTTGCCAAAAAACAAACTCTATAAAAATCTCTGCATTTAATGTGATTCTGCTGGTGACACTCTAAAAAGAAGGATGTCAAATGCTCTTATGAGAACATTATTTGCATCAACGCCGAGATTAGTATTCTCTTATTGCTCAGCCATTTTTAACAACTCAAAGGAAAGACACTTGCACCTGACCACTGCATATAGAATTAGGTTATAACATTCTAACTTAGTATGTCACGCTACATGCGTATTCCATTCCTTGCAACTGTTTGTCTGAAGTTTGTTATTGTTATAATTGACTTCCTCCCGGCTCACAGTGGAATCTAGGAAGCGCATTTCGACCTATTTGGCACTCATTAGCCGGATGTACCTACATCTCAGTGAGTGATGTTGTTCGCCTGAGACTCATTTTAACCGCCACAATAAATATTCAAGCAATATTGACGTATCAGCATAGGAGCCCATGGGCCAATAGAGGACTTTCAGTTTGATCCAGTATTGCCACGGAGAATTACAAGTATATCAAAAAATGAGGAATTTATTATAACCTGAAGAATTTATTGAACACTCAAGTTCATTTTATGGTATTTGAATGCATCTATGCAATCTTTGGTTTCACATATTGCGTCAGTAATTTTGTTTTGTCACTTTAATTGGTCAACATGCATAGGAAAGTTAATAATTATTTCTACTCAATTATTCATGATTGTAGTCTTGATATCCCAGTAGCATTGTTGTTTTCTGTTCCTCAGGAAATTCGATTTCCATTTTTAATCACAACAATAAAATCAAACCTAAAGCAGAGATAATAACATATACTACCTTAGCCAGTTCAATTATTTTTCAGTTGTTCACGAGCAGCTCTACTGATGTTCAAAGAGAAGACTTCAGTGTTACGTACTTAGAAAATATATTCTAGTGGCAATTCATATCCCCTAATGTTAACTATCTCTAATCTTCATTTCTTCACCATCTTGTTAAAGATAGATTTCTACACACAGTTTAACCAAAAGTCAAAAATTTGCTTATAGTTTTCCTTGTATGAGTTGTTGTAAAGTCGCTTTTTTCCCCTAAACACGGCCAGCAACACAAACTAATTCTGGGTAAAAAACGATATGTCAAGCAAATCAGCTTCAATTTCGAAGATAAAATCAATATTCGTTTATTATGTGGCTTCTGTGTTCCCTTGATTTATCCAGAAGTTACGGAAAGATGCTTTCTATTCAGGATTTTCTTAACTTTGACTTTTACAAAAGGGATTTCTTAGGATATTGAAAATTCAGACTGAATGGCTGGACATTATATTGACTAGGCATCGCCAGTTGTCGGCTTTTATTTTAAAAAGTTATGAATCTTATCAGAAGTTATGAATCACTTAACATAAAGGTGATATCACCGACTAATTTAGTCGTCACTGTCTATAACTAGTCTGTAGTTTCCAACTTAAGATAACTGTAATTTCCATTTCTTAATCATAATCACCTACCCTACGATCAAAATTGATTTGAACTCTCCTACTAAAGTTTTAAGAGTAGAAACCGAAAAACTCATTCTCATCCCTCTGAAAAGGTTTACTATACTCACTATCTAAAGGTTTAACTTACAATATGAAAGCTGACATGCACAAATCAGACTTGTTGTTCATCTCAACTTTCGATGAATCCAGGAAACCAAACCAAAAAAAACTTCATAAAACGCACGGCTTACGTCATTTGTACGAAGAATCAATATCGTCTGTTAAAAACGATAGCAGTGGAGTTTCACCAAGTGAAGAAGTTTATCTAGTTACCAAACCTAATCGGAATATATTGATGGAAGTAGTATCACCCGTGCAAAACCAAATATTAGAAGTAATTCTTTAAAATACTTGGCGTGTCACCTGATAACCTAAACTTCTATCTATAGAATTTTCAATATGGAATCAATGGGATTTTGTGATGTCGAATTATTTTATTTATTCCAGAGATTTTGGATTTTGAGATAACTGCTGGTAATTCTTGAGAATGTTTCTAACAACTTGAAAACCACTTTGATGCTAAATCAAAAGAAAATATTCAAGTATATAATGAAGCACGTTTAAATTTTGTAATCTTGAACTACAGAACAGTATTCTGAATATTACGCACGTACCATGAAACTAAGAGATGTGAATCTTGTTGAATAGTGTGAAAAAAAGTAGAAATATGAAGCTGTTATTGTTCAACTGATTAGAATATATGAGAATTCAGTCGCAATGAAATTATGGCAATGAGCTACACGTGAGATAGACGATTACACAGTTTTGATGTATTTAGGTCACGGAAATTTCATCTTTTTCAAAGACTACGCCGGCTAATCCTTGTGGTAAAGTATACTATCTTATTTTCAGTCAGTCAAGTAGGAGAACCGAAGCCGAATATAAATTGGGGGAATTTTTCACATTGTACTTGTAATCTGGACTGCATAGAAACTTGGATTTATTATACCGTCCCAATAAACCAATTTATGGAATATTCATACGAATACGCAGATCATTGTGCAGAAAAATCTGAATTGATGTTCCACCTCATAATAACACTAACTAAACTACTATTAGGAAAAGAGTACTGGATAAGTACTTATTTCCATTTTGAGATATCCTAAAACCTCCGATACAGTTGTTAGTTACACTTTCATTTGGCCAGTAATTCAGAATAAGACAAATAATATTTCTTAACCGTAGCCAATCTCAATGTAGCACAATCAGCGTTTACTTTCTTGGATAACATTTCATTATCACTACCCACTTAGGTAACTCCGGAGATCATATGTAGTTCACATTGAATTTATTCAGTCAAGAGCACTTAAAACTTCGAGAGTTTCAGTTTCTTTTCATCGTATAGAAGTAACCACGGCACTAAGTAGTTTATGTTATCAGACTGAAGGTTTTCTCCGCGATATCAGTAAGCCTAGATAATTTTTTAGGATATCAAGTTTGCTAGAAGATTTTCAACAGAATCACTTAGCATGAAGTAAAATGGGATCCCAAAGTTTTTTAATAAAAATAAATTGAAATTATTTTACCGAACTCACTTTGCTTTGGGCTACTCGACCTTTAGTTATGATCAGTTTGATGATGCTTTGCCGACCTAAATCAATTTCCATGAATTCGCGAAGTTCTGTACCGACTTTAGCATCTGGACACCAAGCACGTTCCTGGAGACCGAGATCATTTGGGTCTTCACTAAAAGTAAACAAAGATTGGATACTAGGTTTTATGAAGAATATCAACAAAAATGCCTAAAAACGTTTATTACCACACTCATTTGTGAATCTGGCGACGTTTATTATTTTTCAGGCTACATACAACAGACACTTCTATAATTCTGAACTTATTAAATTGTTTGTAAATATATTTGTCTCAATTTTTAAAGATGATGACATAACCATACTGAAGCCTTCAGAAAAAATTGTTCATAAGGCCGTTCAACTGTGAATTACTGAAATAGTCACTTATTGTTATTGTCATCATTTTATTTTTGCTGTCTGATATATGACAACGGATGTCATTTTAACAAAAAAATTGGTGGTATAATGGTAAGGATTATGAAATGTCATAGTTGTTGACATTATTTTGAAATCATCGTGTTGTATCTTGTGGTGTTTCTAGCCAGGTAGAAAAAACAAAAGTATTAAGACTGACAGTAGTTTAAAAAATACCTGAAAACTAACTAATTTAATGTAGCGTTGCTACACCTTTCCTTGTAATGACCGCTATCAGGACAAGTTACGTCACTTATGTTGACCATCCTGCTACCTGTCAGGTAAACACTGATGCTAATCACAGAAAACTCAATTTAGACAGGTGTGAAGTTTTCATTCTCTTGAATGATGACATTGAGTAATATGTGGGCTTAACCGTGATTTGAAAATAGGACTGACTTAATAGAGTTTTCTTATTGTATCTATATAAACTTGAATATATATTTATATATGTGCGTATATAATATATATAATTTCTGAAAATTATCAATACCGTTAGCTACGAAGGAAGTTATATTCAGAGGTGGAAACGCTTGCCGGTTTGCTCAAGCTTGCTGATGGAAATCACACAGTCTACATTCGGTCTTAAGTATTTGCCTATGTAAGTTTGTGGTTTTCAAAACTGCATTCCACTTTATTCAGTATATATATGAAGATATCAAACGTTGAAGTATAAAAGATTAACTTTTGATTGTTTTCTAATTCAGCTGGTAGAATATTCGTGACCTGTTCGGAGGAATATTCATCTTCATTTCTCTGCTACTCCGATAGTTATACAACAGTAGCCATCAGATTTGTATGAAGGAAGTGTCTGTACGGCAAGACCATAGTAAATATTTCTCTTGGGAACGACTTTATTGGTTCAGCTGTGGTTAATATAAATTTCCAAGTAAAAATATAACTTGAGAACTTTTTAAAAAATTCCCATGTTTCTGTTTAAAATAAAACTTTACATTTCTCTGAATGTGATCATACCATGAGATATTTTTAGTTTGATGTGGACAAAGCCTTTATCTTTTTAAGAAAGGCGATAGCAGACACTGTAAAATATGGCAGACTGAAGTACTCATAAACCGAAGTGAAGAGTTGTATAAAGGAAACAAGCAATAAAAAGTATTTATGTGCTCAATAAGGAGAGGAACAGAATGATTCATGTAAAATACTTGTTGCATGAAACGACAGTTTAGTATAATACGTATGATATGTGTACCAGTTGTAGAAACACATACCTCGAACCAGCTGGCTATGGTTAATGTGTGATGAAATTTAGGAAGTCATTAACTAATAAATTTATTTTTCAGCAGAAATATTATTTTTAATGAGCATAACTCACTTGGAATGTAGCAGAGTGATTTAAAATGAAAAAGATGTTGAGATGTACTAAACCTATATCACCTTTTATTTCAGCACACCTCGATTCAATTTTCAATAGTGATAAAGCAACCATCAAATAGTGATTGTTTTTTATTAAAGAAAATAATTTACGGAAATACGATTTATTTGTGGTTGAGCAACATATTGTTTTTTAATTTTCCGCTTAACAATTAAAGTTTATAAATAACAATTTTGATTTATGAGAATATTGTGTAATAACTAGTTTCCTTCCTTTTATTAGTCAGTTTGCTGACTTTATTCCTCCCTATCCATTTTTTTCTGTCTCTGTTTTGTCGTTAGCGCTGAATAATTTCTCCCTGTGTGTTCATGTACATTTACAATATTATATTAGGTAGGAATGTTTTTCATTTGTACAAAATACAAATATCAAAACAAATGAATATAGAAAAAATGGATGCACAAAACATTGGGTAAATTCTGTTTGATGAATCAGAATATATAGGCAGATATAATATTAGTCATTTGGTTGATTAATAAGCAGATAAATCATGTGTGGATCAGACATCATCAACATTACATTCATGACCACAGAGGTGAAGAACTTTCTTTCTTTCTTTCAATAAGAAGGAAGAAATAAATAAGCCTTCAGGGCAGCAAGAAACATCGAACAGAACATGAAAGTCTGAGTCAACCTTATCTGATAACTGAAAGTGATGACGGAAGAATAAAGAGAAATTGTTTTTCGGTGTAGTTAAGTAACATGTACATATTGAGAAAACAAAACTGGGCAGTATAATATCTCTCTTTGTTTGTTGAATGCTAATATAAAAGTTATGTTTAGTTTACTTATTACCGTCTAGTAACAGAGGCATATTAGGATGATCCAGTGGAAGTTATTGTTTGTGCATTAGGTTTAGATGTGACCTAGCAGATAACTAAGTGGAATTATAAGCTTTCACTCATTGAGAAGTCGTAACCTTTAAGCAGAATCTCATATTCTGCAATCAGTATAGCATAAAAAACCACTAATTGTGATCGAGAATACATGATTCCATTGCGTGAAGTCCCTAAGTATTATTAAGAACCCGTTAAAAGTCAGCTGTAAGATGTTACTAGTTACTAGTTGGGGAAGTTAGGTGGTACAGTTAGAAAATAGGTCAAGTGTGCACACGCGATCATACTTTTATCTAGTTTCAAATGAGAGAACACTTCTTGTCAGTAGTTAATCCTTACTGCATTTTTATCACATCGTTTTTATCGTCTAAATAACCAAGTATCAAATTCTTTTATTTCTAAATATCTCAGTTAAAGTCCTTATTATATCATGTACCCAGATGTCTGCATACTTGAGAACATGTGGTAATAAGTAGACTAGGATTTTTAACATTGAGTTAGCGAAAAATTCACTGAATACTGTGTGTATTAAAGATGTTCAAGCTGGAGAAGCCTGTGTCGGAATAACGTTTATGCATGAAATACTGTTATCCATTAAATATCCATCTTCGTGAAATTAAAGCGTGATACCATGTAAAAGTAGTGAATAACTGGGTATTATCAGTTCAAAATAAATACTTAACAAACTTCAGTTATCAAATACTCCATTCGTTCTTCATTTTAAATTCCAAATATTTGGTCTTTTCATTTCTAAAAGTTTGACATCTCTTAAAAAACTGAAACCACGAGAAACTTGATAAAAATCTGCAGTTTGTGGAGGTTCCGAACCTGAAGAACTCTGTATGGGTGAGAAATGGGTAGAAACTGTGAAATGCGGTAAGTTACAGCCTTGTTCAACTGAGTGTTGCTAATCGGTTAAATTAAGTAGTCGAATAATATTTTCTTCTTCGGTCTCATAAAAATAAGGAAAAATAAAAAGGTATGGAAGTCGTAATAACAGTGACAATAACTTTTTATTCGTTTATGCTTACTTTTACATACTTTCCGTGCTTATGAGGGCTAAGAGACGTGCATGTTGCAGGTATGTTGCCAACACATTATATTATATCCCAAACACTTATTTCTACGTGTTCATGTATAAAAGTAGATAAGAATCATTTTCAAGCTATCAAGTTTTGAACTTGGGTCGTATTCCGACCATATTTCAAGCTACAAGGTATGTGACAAATATATCATCTCACCTAACTGACAAACCACGTGGAATACAGACAATGAATATCTTCAAATAATTTTTTAAGGAATTTTACTAGATCGGTACTGAATTCGCTTTAAGTTCACTTACTTATGGTTTCAACATGAACTTTATATTTACCAAGTCGTCGTCTAAAATGTAGATCATAACTCGTGTTGATAACTATTTTTAGAAAAGTCATTTTTACTGTTCAGCTTTGCTCCTTTTTATATTCTATGGAAATAAACTAAAGGAGGATATAAAGTTTTGGTAAATATAATTCCTAAAAAATCTCTGACAGTTTAAGTGAATCTTCTGTATAGGGAAGTAAGACAATGATTTATCTTGAAGTATGAGATACTTTCGTCTGTTAAAGATATATATATATATATATATATATATATATATATGTATGTTTGTTTTTTCGGTTTGAAACCCTGTTTGAATACTTTAAGTCTGTTGGTGACATTTGAGATTGGAAAAACTTGTAACACCTGCTATTAAAGTTGGTGGTTAAACAAAATGTATTTGGACAGTTGCGATACTGAAACATGACAATTCTCTCATAAGTTAACTTTGAATTATTTATTTATGGAAAGTGTCCACACTCCTTCAGAATTAAAGCAGTTGATCAATGAAGTTTACATATGTGGTGAGTCACAGTATCATTTAGGTTTTATACTCTATTTCTCAAATCTCAAATCTGATAAGCCAAATGCTTGATCCCATCGTGTATTAAATACATTGAACAACTAAGAAATATAAATGATTTATTCAAGTCAACACTACCTTAAAAGTGAAATTCTTATTAACCGTAAACTGGAGTACTTTATAGTGCTCGTTAGTGACATACTTTGAGATGGATATCCCGAAGTTCTAGTGACAGGCTTTGACCTGTGAGGTCAACCTGCTTGAAGTGAAGTGGATACCAGGACTGTGCTAAATAGCAACTTGACAGAGGCAGGAAACTGTGGACCACTGAACGCCAACCCAGTGGCTGAATAGCTAACGCTTTCACCGTGAGACCTGATGGTCCTGAGTTTGGTCCCTTGTGAGGTAGCAGGCACCTAAATTTGTTCCATGATTATACTTCAACCTTGTCGACCAAGAAAGAAGATGTAACAATTCCAGCAAGCAGCAGCTGATGACCATGATGACTAGCTGCAAAATATTAGAGATAAGCTTGATGCTTGGTGGCACGTTTTGGTTATTATTATTTCCAGCTCCAACTAATCTCTGAT